GACCACACACACGATTTTCTCAACTCTATGTGGGCTGCCGCAAGCTAAACGCTTACATGGATACCGAGCTTTCGTCCAACTCAATAAAAGCATTACGTAGTCCTGTTTAAGGCAAAAAAAACCTGGCCATCAAAACATACAGACACATTTTTGCAGATGCCATGTTTTACATAAAACACAAGGTACGATACACAAGAGGATAGAAAATTTATTTTTACTGCAGGGCGGAAAAATTCTTCATACTAATTAATTATAATCAATAACAATAGGCCTAATTTTGCATTTTGAAAGACAAAATGCTGGGATCCAAAATGATAAATTTTATATTCTTGCAGTAATCATATAAATATCTTGAACAGGAGAGGTGAGTAAAATCCCTTTACTATTTACATTTTAAGCTAAAATCATTTTCATGAAAACAATAAAGAGTGCTATCATGATATTATGAGCAATAATTAGCTTATTAAAGTAAAATGTAATTAAAAAATCTGAAAGGTTTCAGATTTTAATGGTCGAACAGAAGGGTTTGTTAAGATTTTCTACGATCTCGCTGAGCTCGAAGTCTACCATTCTGCTATTATACTCACTCCTAGTAACGCTTTTTTTTTTAAATCTTTTCAGATTTATTATTTAAGCATCATTTCCTTCGCACTAACGCTATATACAATTCAACTGCAAAATTATAAAAATATTAAAAGCAGTATAAGAGTATACGTTTAGAATTCCCGATGCAGCGTTTAAGTGTTGGCATACATTTTTCTGTTTTTTCAGTTCATATCAATGTTCAATTTTTACTAAGATGGCTTTAGAAAACTTCTTTTGTCTTTTTGTTATTAACTTAAGTTAAATTTATTAATTAAATAACATATTCTTCGCACTTACCCACATAAAATTAATTTAACAGAAAAATCGCAAAACATTTCAAGCCAGCATATCTTTAGAATTTCCAACAATCTCGCGCGCTGAAGATATTTTTTTTTTTTTTTTTTTTTTTTTTTTTTTTTTTAAAGTGTTGCCTTGCTCGCTCTCAAATAGTTGAGTTTGTTAATCAAAATTTCGTTAAATTTGTGCAAAATATGAAATATAAAATTCGAAATTCAAAATTCGGCCTTCCTGGTGCACATATTAGAGTGGAGGAATAGGTTATTCATAACGAGATAGCTCCATGTACCTTCGTTTCTTCACAATGAATGGAACATAAATGCATGTATGTAGATTCTTTATTATTTAATTTCTTTAAATAAAATACGGGGCGATAATATTTGGTGGCAACAGTTTGAAAAGTGATACAGCGTATTTTAAGTGCTTCGACGCAAAATGCGGTTTCGAGACTAATATCCCATTGGATATTAATATCCCTTTTGGCGTAACAATCCTTTTCAAATATAACAAATAAATCTTTGGGGAATACTTATTTGTGCATATACATGATTCAAATAGTCGAAACTAAAACAACTTTTCATAGAAACTTGCAAAACTGATATTCGCCCTTTTCTATCAAAGTACAAAATTTCACCACGTAATTATAAAGTTTCTTTATGTGTTTTGGGTTTGTTACTTTTTATTAGTTTTGTGTTACTTAAATTAATTAACGGAAATACAAAGTTGTTTGTGCACAATAAGTAATTCAAACAGAAAATATATTTTCTTCCTGAACTACCAAAGGCGTAAAAAGTTTATAAATGCTGAGTCTTTTGCCACGTTTTTGGCTACTGAAAGAAAAATTTCGGACAGGTATAAAATATGCATACTGCATACAGAACTGCGTGTCTTGTTCCGGGAGATGCATTATGATATAACATTCAAGGCCAATTTGTCACGTTTGCACGTTATCAAGCCAAGAATTCTATCTCTAAACCACATCCAGTATCCACTACGATCATAACCTCAGTGTAAAAACAAGCAAAATACGGTAGGATTCAGACTATACTAATAAATGGTGTCACGACTGCCAAACGGAGGTTGAACGTAGGAAGATCTTAGTTGCTTAACTCCCAAAAACAACAGCGTCTCGTTTCCGTGTTTGGGGTCAGTAGGGTTGAGGTCAAGTTGAGCGCAAGGACACGTTTCTACAAGCGTTTCAAAGAGTGAGAATTCGGTGTTCACAGATTCCTTTAAAGAAACATACGTTAATATTTTTTTTTTTTTTTGCATAAATTATAAGTGCTTAAATACCTTTAAAACAATCGAATATGGAATTTTAAGAGGCATCACACAAACTTTTGAACAACGCGAAGAAAGGCAGCAATAGATATGTATATATAAGCATGTATATAAGCTTAGTTTCCTTCCAAAAACAACTTTCAATGAGGTAAAAACTAGTTAGGACCTGCATGAGACTTGTATTTTAGCTAAGACTATAAGGTATTACTCCCGCCTTCTTAGCGAGCCTTAGTGCAGTAAGGGTCTGCACGCTCAGCGCGTATTTGAGAGGTCCGCGGTTCGATTGCCGGCGAAGGCGTTGCTAATTTTTCCTCTTGCCTACTTCCAAAAAATCCTAATGTCTCTACAATGGCGCCCGAACTAAAAGGGTGTTGGATGATGATTCTCCTCACCTAAGATTTGGCGATTGGATCCCCTAAAAAGCCCAGTCGCCGTTTAAAAGGGGGAGTATAAAAGGTATTTATCCCGCCTTCGTGGTGTAGGGGTCTGCACACTCAGCTTGTAACTGAGAGCTTCGCGGTTCGATTCCCGGCGATTGGCGTTGCTAATTTTTCATCTTCCCTGCTTCCAAAACAATCCTAATGTCTCTACAAAACCATTTGTCCTACTTTTTAAAAATTGCATTTTTTTCGAGTCTGCAGCAATTTGCGTAGATCGTCTATTAGTTTTCAACTTTGATTTTGAAATCTCCTTAGGATGTTTTGAATTATTACTTTTGAGTATATATATATATGTGTGTGATAAAAGCAAATTTAGAAGTAATGACGAGCAAAAAATTTTGATGGCGTAGAAGTGTTGATCCATAATGAATAGGAAATTGGAGGCGAAGGCAGATTAAATATTAATTTTTTATTTCAGCAAACATGTTATAGCCACAAACAAGTTGGCACATTAAATGTGCCTATCCCAAGGAGTTTACATTTTTTGATAGATTTTCAGTAAGAAAAAAGTAGCAGACAGACTATAGTCACCTTAGGCCAAAGCATACAAAGCAAGTGCGTTATGTTCAGGGTGAAATCTTAGTTTTGAGACTGAGTTAGTTTTGGTTCTCATTGCATTTTGATTGGATAGTTAATACTGCTGTAAAATTATTATTGGCTGCTTGAGTTTTAGTTCCATTTACATCATCAGAACTATGTAAGAGTCATATGAAATAGATTAGTCTCGAAATGAAGCAGTGCAAATAGAGATTACTATTTTTAGAACACAGAAGGGAAATTAATTTACGTTGCTAATTTAACATTTTACATTTTCGTCATTTTTCTTACATATATATACAGTATATATACCGTGGAACTATTTACGTGGATAAGTCAAAGATAGATTTTTCCGTGAAATTTACAGAATTTTATTATATAAGACGTACAAAAATTTTAAATACAGCTTATTTTTCGTTTGCTTTCTAAAGTTAAATTATTAGCCCAAAGAGGCAGTAGCCCAGGAGGGCTATTTGCTTCTAAACGGCATTTTGCATTGTATCCCTATAAATGTCCCTTTGCACTTTTCAAATTGTCGCCACCAAATATTATCGCCCTGTATTTAAAGAAGTTAAATAATGAAGAATCTGCATGAATGTATATATATTTCTTGCATTGTGAAAAACGATGGGACTTAGAGCCACCAAATTTTGAATAACGTAATCCTCCACACGAATATGGGCACCTGGACGCCCGAATTTCGAATTTGTTTTATTATCTATTTCATATTTCGTAAAACTTTAACGTATTTTTGATTAACAAACTCAACGATTTCAAAGCGAGCAATGGAATCACTGTACGGAAAATAACATTTTTATCTCCAGTGCGAGAGACTATCTATCGGAAATTCTAAAGATATTCTTTTGTGATATTGTTTTTGAACTGAATTTTATGTGGTTTAAAATCTGAAAGCTCTCAGATTTAAATTTTTTCCCCATTCTGATTTCTAAAATAAAGTTTGTTTTTCGTTTGTTTGGTAATATAAAGTTTATACTCCTTTCGTTCATAAAATAAATTTTGTTAAATATGCCATTTTTTAGCCTAACATATTTTACATTTCGCGAAATTACATTGTTAAATGCAATAGTAACATTTATTTACATAATCTATTTACGTACATCTAAAATCCTACAAAAAATAAGACATCGTATTATGTAACCATCTGGATTGGCATAGGGTTTCGCTAAGAAAGCCCGAATTTCCCAAAACTAGCATGAGAAAGAGATATCTTGATTTTAATACCCAATCGCCCCTGATACTTGGATTACGCACTTTTAATATATTGCCTAAATTTCTTGGACATATTTCAAGATGCAGGTACATATACTTTCTTAACATATACTTTCTTTTGAAGGATTTTAACGTGTTTATAGGTCGAAGTTTAATTTCATAATAAACTTTTCGGGTGTATAAATTAATTTATAAGCGAGCTTATGAAGTAACTACAAAACACGAAGAAATTTACAATTAGGCTGCCTTTTATTTTAAGGAAATGTTCAGGGTGTTTCGAGAGAATTTATACAGGATTTCCTTCTTCAAGTAGAAGTATTTCCCGCGCGAATGAGTTTAATGCAAATAAAATTAATTACTACTTTAATAATTTAATAATTCTATATTGTTTCAGGCCCACCAGCGGCCGAGCGGTAAAATCGCTGAACACTGGTAGTTCGGTCAGAGGTTCGAATCCCACGAACGGGCTGGCTGCATGGGCGTTTTCGTGGTTTTTCCCATGTGTAACGTGTATACGAGCCAGTTTCCCTTAGAAAGTCCTCCACGAAGGCTCCCTCTCCTTAGGCAGATAGCCCTCGTGTGCTTTGCCGTATTCTCAATACACTACACCACTATATTGTTTTAACTTACCAACTGGTTCATCTTCTGGTATTAGCCATTCTCGTTTCATGTCAAAGACTGGAGGAGTATTCTGCCCCGGAAATGCCAAGCCTAAAATGAATAAAAAATTCGTAAATACTTAAATTTTTACACAAATTAATCATATCTATGTAATATGTAATAATACACAAATTTAAAAAAGGTTGTAAAGAAGAAAAATTTCATGCCATATTATGTTTAATATTTTCCTCCTTATTTCTGAGCCAAATGAAGGATAATTTTGTTTCCTTATGCAAACATGAGATGCATAAAACACTGGCAATAACGACATCTCCAGTGTAACGATAATTCGGGAATATGTACACTTCACTGTACCTGAATTCAAGTGGGAATGGGAAAGTACTCATATTGGACAAAATTGGAGAAAAGTGAATATTATTCTTCAATCTAATGAAGATTTTAATTTATCTACACTGACGTTCAAAATTATGAAACTTTTCTCATTTGGTCCATTATCTCCAAGACTAATAGACATATTTTCGTGAAATTTAATATAATATAAATTTACATAATAAAAAAGGTATATCATCTAAGTAGGTGCATAAGCATGATCGTGCGAAAGCTCATCGCAGCAGCAGGTCTAAAACAGAATTTGCAACACCGAACAATAAAGAAGGCTATCAGAGGGGGTATGATCACCTCTAACAATTATACAGCTTTCACAATAGGACTTCATAATGGAAATGAATCAGTTTATGAGTTCCTTTTGACTATCTCTCTCGTTCCAGCAGCAACATCGTTTTCAGTTCTGGCGTGTTTTGAGAGAAGGCAGGCGAGTTGCAACCAAGAACGTGTCAAATATAGAGTCTAGACGATCCATCCTATTAACATCCTCACTTTCCAGAGAAACATCCACCAGGTGGGCGAGCGCTGTCGTTTATAAAGAAGAAGAACTGAGGGCCACATTATACCTGAAATACTTCGAAGCAGTCTCAGAACCTTTGTCAAGGATATAAAAGTATGTAGGCACATACAACAAGACGACCTGCCCTAACCATCACAACTTCGCTGCCATAGTGGTCCTATTCTCGAATGTTAGAGGACAGGTAACGAGTACCTGGTCATTCCACATCAAATTACGTCGAGAACCAGTGGTTAGGCTGAATCGGGACTCGTCTGTAAAGAGAATGGTCCCCGAATGATAGCTCCGAAATCGATGCTCCATTCACTAAACTAAATGGGCTCTCTTGTGAGCAGAAGTGAGCGGAAAGCAGGCCATCTTTATAAATAAATGAGATCTTAGATCCTCATGATTGCCTTTTCAGGGATATACTAGGTGGTCCTCAGTTCATATTTATTGATAGAGCGCCTCGATGCAGAGCTTATCTAGTCGATGATTTTCTGAAAAGTGGGGATGTTAACCAGATGCATTGGCCAGCCACATCTTCAGAAGTAAACACTATAGAATACTTCTAGAACGTTTCCTGAGAGAGCAACTGCAAAATGCTTTTTCCCTTTCATAACTCTTCAGGACCTGAAAACAGCACTGCAGCAGGACTGGGAACGACTGCTAGAGGAACTCATAAATTGCCTTATTTTGAGTATGAAGTCATGTTGCGAGAGCTATATGACTGTTAAAGATTACTATTAGTTTCCCTTTTTGTTCGATCATGCAAGTTTTGTTTTTCCACGCGGATCAGCATTACGCAAGATCATGTGAGTGTATCATATGACTGTTCTATGATATATTTTTTGTATTACATCAACCTATATTCTAACAACTTTCATCAAATCTATCCATCAGTCTGGAGATAATGGACCAAATGGTGAAAGTTCTCTTAATTTTGAACAGCACTATTTTTTTATAATATGCTTTAAGATATTTAATATCTAGCACAAATTTAAACAAAAGCTGTGTATTTTGTTAAAGATCTGGTGCTGTAGTTAATTTCATGATTGTAAGCTATATATCCGTGTACAGGGCTATATTAGATAGAAATAATACGTAATGTGGTAAAAAAATGCTGCATAGCTAGTTCACTTAAATATAAAGCAAATAAATTAAAATTTTAAAATAATCGACACGCTTATTGATTGTATTCATATACAATTTTTTGTCGTTATCTCAGTAAATGCCAGAAGTATCTTCTTCTGCCCTACACACGAGAGTTTCTTTAATATTTAACACAAATACATAGGTGAAACATTAACAAAAATTTCGTAATAAGAGGAAAGAAATAATATACTTTATAATGGTAGATTTTACACGAATTTGATTAATATGCATTGCTGAACTGTTTTATCCAATTAAGCTTTAAAAGTTTTTGGGCACTTACGAATAAGCCGTTTGTTTTAACTATTAATTAAGTTTTGACTATTGGATTTATCAAGGGGAAAACAAAAAGGAAAAAAAATTAAATGGCTATGAATGATGGCAGATAATTAGGAGAAGGGAGATAATTAGGAGAAAAGACAGACAGAATCAAATTGGGATATTAGTAAGGAAAGAGGAATGGAAGACACTTAGGAAATTTTATTTTCCTTCAAAATCCGGAAGTAGTTGGGCAAAATCGACTCTCACCAATAAGGTATCCAAGCCACATACCAGCGACAGGCGCAGTTGTGGTGTACCTGCGTTCCTAACTGCGATAAAGCTTGTGGACATGTTTTAATGTTACGGTCAGACAAGTGAGGAAAGTCACAACAGACAAGATATTAAAAGTGCTAGACATGTATCAAAATATCCAATCCAGATTATGAGAGCAGTTAAAAAGAAAACAGTATCATATCACCTAAGATAAAAGCTTCCACGAGCCACCATCCGTATAAAAGAACTCTTCTGATGACTTTAACAAGGAACACAAAGGCATACGTAAGTACAACAGGTTGCTTGCTAGTTTGCTGCATATACTGAGACACATATAACGAGATTTACTTCGCGTATTAAGCAGCACCAAAAAGCCAAAAACATACAGAGTCTCTGTGTTCTTTCTGGAAGCATACAACGTGAACTCTACGTAGAAAGCGAAGTAGCAAAGACTCGCTATGTCTTTGAAGAATAGATACTGAAGAAGCCGGTTTTAAATAACCTCTTTATTTGAACTAAAATAAACGGATGCACGCAGTTGGTGCTCACAATTTACCACCACTTGTGGCTGACTTAACTTTAACAGAAAATAAAAATGTAACGAATCACAATAAATTTAAATGACTAACGAGAGGCTCCTTAGCTTTATTGGTCTAAGGAGGCTTTGTCCCTGAAGGACTATTGTTTTCGTTTTGCGATTTTGCGTTGAATTACTATAAATATCCGTTTCACTTTTCAAACTGTTGCCACCAAATGTTAGAGTCTTGCATTATATTCGAAGAAATTAAGTAATGAAAAATCTGCATAAATATATGTATATTTCACTCATTGTGATAAAACAACAATACATAGAGCCATTGAATTTTGAATGACCTAATCCTCCTACGAATATGGGCATGTGGAAGACCAAATTTGAAATTTGGAATTTGTTTTATTATCGATTTCATATTTTGTAAAACTTTAACGAATTTTTGAGTAACAAACTCAACAATTTCAAAGCAAGCAACGGTAACACTCTACGGGCGGGGGGGGGGGACACCTTTTTATCTCCAGTGGGCGGAAATGTGTGTCGGAAATTCTAAAGATAGGCTCATTTTAAAATTATTTCGCGACAATGCTATTCAACTGAATTTTGTGGTTTAAATGCGAAGAACATGATATTTAATAAATAAAGGGTAACACACAAAACGTTAAAAAAAACGCCCCTTTAAATGTAATTTAAAATCTGAAACTTTTCAGTTTTTTTTTTTTTTTTTTTTTTTCTTAACTGCTGAATCGGCTGCACACAGCAAAGCCTAGCCTTTAAATATCAGCATAAAATGAAAGCTGTATAACACCACCAACTAGAGAGCTAATTTCAAACATTCAGTATAAACTCCGGAACTAACTCCACTACTACTACTTTTCGAACTCTTGAAAAGCAGTTTAAACACTGCTTCTGAAACGCGGTTTAGATTAAAATACTACGTCATTTAAAATTTACACTCCGGCAAGAAATTGAAATCGGGAGGGAAAGGATTGTAAAACTAAAAATAATTGGTTAGAATAAAATAAGGGCTTTACAAACACATCTACCTAGGCTGTTCGCCCAGTTTTTAGGCAATTTTCATTGTATTTACAGAAATATTTTACCTAAACTATTTTCGTTCAAAATGTTCCATTTGATAACCCTTATTTTTCATTATCTTTCTACACTATAATTTTGAAGAAAATACAGTCTTTTCTAGTAGCGAAAGAGCTATTTAATCCCATTCTCCTTGAAAAGCTTTGGAAAGTCAAAGGAGGGTTGCAGGTCGACGGCTGGACAATCTCCTTTAAAAGTCCAAAAGCGCAAAATTCCGTGGATGATACACCAGGAGATTTAGCAGGGATATAAATAAAGGGTAGTATGGCCTTGATAAACGTTTCTTGTTCCATTTTTTACAGGAAATTAGATTTTGACGTGCGGCTACTTGCTTTGTCTTGATGCAGTTCTACTGATTGATGGCACTGTGGCTAAATAGAGGTATTTCATATTTAACAGTTGGGTATAAAATATGCTCCTGATAATATGTGGAGTTTTCTTCACTATCTTTAACTTTTATTTGTCGTTAACTCAAAAATTAATAACAATCATAAATCCCTCTGAAAACTTCCTTTAGATTCTTTGAACCATGTTCGAAGATTTTTTCCTTCTCTTTGATGATAATAAATGAATCTCTTTTTATTGCGGTCATTTAAATATACCCAAGATTCATCTATTGTGATAACAATTTTCCATTTTTGTCCAAATAATTGTTTCGCACACAGAATTCTGCAGCGCGTTCTGCTTTCGGTGATATGTCGTGGAGAAAGACGATGCTCATAAGATCCTTCCACCTTTTTAAGCTTCAAATCAACATTAATCACTTTGTTTGCAGTTGACACTGAGCATTTTAGTGATTACGCAACTGTACTTTGATTTCGAAGATTTTCTTTAAAGATTAAAGTTCTTCCCTTTGCAACATTCGAAACATTCCGTTTTCCCCTTGGATACGTATTTTGAACACTTT